CGGGTGCGCGGGGTCACGGGGTGGGGTGGCCACGGGTGCGCGGGGTCACTGGTGGCACAGGTCTGGATAACCGTCGTGCATTGTCTGAAGCTGCTAAGTTTGAGGGGATTTGTTGGCGTAGCCAGAGAAAGCTGGTTCCGACCGGGGTGGAGAGAGACAATCAAAGAGGAGTTGCACAGTGGCTGCCGTGTGACCCGAGTTTACATAGTATTGTGGTACGAAGCCGTAGTTACTGACCTAAATTGATTGGCGATACCAAGGCACTGGGGTCAGGAAGCAGCCGTGGAGCGCTGTTGAGGACCCCACCTCTGGAGATGGAAAATGAGGAGAGGCCGGCTTTGTACGCCGCCTTGCGAAACCGAAGGGTTTTAGGTTATCTGTGTGTGCAACTGATTTAGAGTAGACAGTAAATGGAAAGCTCACACCAGAGGCTTGTGCACAGCTTGACCTTGTTTGTAACTGGGCCGGGTAGGAATGTGTTCTCAGAACCACCTCACCCCGAGGGTGCCCGGAGTCACGGGTATAATAAGGAAGAAAGGACTTTGTGGGCTAGGCCCGTGCACAATACCCAAGGAAGCCTGTCACTGGTGCGTTGTCATCCCCAGGGACTCAAGCTCAAAAGTCAAAGGGAATAGGTCAATACACCTGTCATATGTAACCATCTGCCTTTTCTTTTCATCAGCATTCAAGTCCCTCCCCTCTATTTTAAGTTTTTGATTTGGCTGAAGTTTATTTTGGCAAGAGGTGGGAGGGTCAGCCTGGCAACCCAGTGTTAGTAAGAGTGAGTGGTGATACGCTCACCTGACTTTGCCTTCAAACTTTTACAAAGTGAAACAAAGGCAGCCCCTTTCTGGGCCTCTGTGGGAGCTGGGGACGGCTTGCCAGCCCAACTTCCTGGGTACAGACCCTCGGCTACCTGGCATGAGCCTCGCCCTCAGAGCCGGCTCCTGCGCCTCAAAATGGGGCTCACTCCACTCAAATGAATGCCTGCAGTAAGACTGGGCAAGGAGTGTGAACAGCTGTGTGTGTGGGGGTGGGTGTGCTTGTTGCAGCCTGTCTCCACCCTGGGGCGGGGCCTGTCAGTGGCACCGAAGGATTCCAGCACATTCTGGAAGGGGACAGTGCACAGAAAGGACTGCGATGGATAGAGTCTGTCTGATTGTCTTCAGGATGGTATATTTGGGCTTTTCTTGTGTGTGTGTGTGTGTCTGTGTGCGTGCGTGCAAGTCCTAAGGCTTGAACTCCAGTCCTGGGCACTGTCCCTGAGCTTTTTTGCTCACTCTACCATTTGATCCATACTGCTACTTCCAACTTTCTTGGTGATTAACTGGAGATAAGAGTCTCAGGGAGGACTGGGAAGATGGCTTAGTGGTAGAGTGTTTGTTTACCTACCATGCATGAAGCCCTGGGTTCCATTCCTCAGTACCCCATATACAGAAAAAGCCAGAAGTGGCACTGTGGCTCAAGTGGTAGAGTGCTAGCCTTGAGCAAAAGAAACTCAAGGAGTGCCAAGGCCCAGAGTTCAAGCCCCAGAACTGGCAAAAAAAAAAAAAAAAGGAGGGGATGGGGGAATGGCCCTCCAGTGGCCAGGCTGGGCAAGTGAGCACAGGTCTACTGGGATTCATGGAGAGGTGGCAGGTCCAGGATGCTGGCGGGCGACTCATGCACTCCTGCCAGGGCCTGGAGGGCAGGTGTGTGAGGGAGTGCCCGAGTGCCCAGAGAACCCACAGGACACTCCTGCGCCCTGCATCCTCCTCCCCTCCCTGGTCCCAGAGGGCTGGCCGCCAGGCCTTCTTCTGTGGCAGTCTCTCTGGGCTGAGTCCAAGAATGCCTCCTTCTGGGGTGGTGTGGAACTTCATGCTGCTCAAGGCCAGCTTCCCCTCCCAGCGGTCCGAACAAGGGGTTGGGGGTGCAGGGCCCAGCAGGCAAACACTGCCTCCTGCCCGCGACCAGGGGACCAGGGCAGGAAGTGAACGGGCTGCTTTCAACTTCCAAATCGGGCTGCGGGGCTGAGAGTGGGCATGTTTGGATCCAAAAATAGAAAACCAGTGTGTGCTGTGCCCGTCCCACTCGGTTTCCTGGAGAGGTCTGCGGACCCGACAGCCTCTCAGGGCCGTCGCTGCCCACGGCGGGGTGGCAGGCGGCCCAGGGGCGGGTTCGGGAGTGTCAGCCAGCCTTGGAGTGACCGCTCGGCTCAGCCCCTGGCTCGGGCCAGGACAGCCTGCCCAGGTTACGGGCCAGCTCGGTCCGGCTCTTCTGGGAAAGCCTGCTCCAGCTTCTGTCCTCAGGCTGGCCAGGACGCAGTGCCCGTCCTGGACAGGGCAGGACGGCGTGGCCAAAGCTCGCAAGCCAAGAGGAGATGGGCCCAGTGTCCGGGTGACCGGTGTGGGTGACTGGGGGTCCGAGAGACGGTCTGCTCAGCCATGCGCCTGGGGGACCTGAGCCCTGCGGGACCTGAGCCGGGCCCTCTCCACCCCTCCACCCTGCACCCGCCCTCTCCACTCCCCCCTCCACTTCCCTGCCTCTTCTCCACTCCCCCTTTCCAATCTCCCTACCCCCTCTCCACTCCCCCCTCTCCACTCCCCCACCTTCTCTAATCCCCCCTCCCTGACCCTCTCCTCTCCACTCTCTCCCCCTCCACTTCCCCCTCCCCACTCACTCCACTTCTCTGCCCCCTCTCTACTTCCCCCACTCCCTCTCTACTCCCCCCCCTCCCTGACCCTCTCTTCTCCACTCTCCCCCCCCCCCGCAGTTGGGCTCCCCCTCTGCCCCCCTCTGGTGACTCATCCCGGGGTGGGGCCT